ATCCATATTTACTCACTATACCTTTAAATGAAATCGATTTCAATGGCCTAGAGATATAAATTGCATCTGGATGAGATTTTTCAGTAAATTCGGGGCCAAGGTTATTTAACTGTATTAACTCATTTCTTTTTTTTTCAGATTGATTAAAATGCTTTGAATATTTCTTCGAAATATTCCAAAGAGAATAGGTTTCATAAATTTCTGTTATAGAAGGCCTTTTTACAGGATCAGGATCCAAACATCTTTTCATTAAACTAGCAAAACATTCAGGAGTATCTTCTGTAATTTCAGGGCGTTCTCCATAAATAATTTTATAAATAAGTTCATAATTATGCTCAATATTAGCAAAAGGTCTATAGCCTGTTGTAATTTCCCACATGATCATACCCATACTGTAAATATCAGATGCTTTTGAGAATGAAGCATCCTTAAGTATTTCCGGAGCCATATAAGGTATTACACCATATATTTCGTTGTTTGCAGATGGAATATTGTTTGTAGCTTGCGTTAATCCAAAATCTGCAATTAACCATGGCGCATCTTGACGTTTTTTATATAATATGTTCCCACTATGAAGATCTCGATGTGTAAAATTTGCATTATGAATAGCTTTAAGGCTAAAAAATTTTTAAAAAAAAAAAATTAGTATTTTGTTCATAAACCTTAATTAAATGTATTAAAAAATATAGTACCCTTTTGCAATCTGCAATAAAATTTCCAATTTTTCTTTCCATGTTATATTGCTAAAATTCTTTTGTAAATAATTATGCAAATTCCCCCCATTTGCATATTCCATTACTAACATATACTCATTTGTTTTTGGATCTTTTGTAATACCGTAGTATCGAAGAATATTATTAGATTTATCGTAATATTGATGATAAGATTTTAACTACAATTAAAATATATAATTTAATAACTTTTAAATTCAAAATTAAACAAATTATAAAAATATACAATATTATTACCTCATTTAAAAAACGTTTTCTAATATCTTGAGTAAACAATTTTACAGCAATAGTTTCATACCTTTTCCTATTACCATAAGAACATAATTTACTATATACTCCACCATCTAACCAAATTGCTTTATAAACAAGCCCAAATCCTCCTTCGGATATTTTTTCTAAATTCGTAATTCGATAATATGGTATCCATTCAATTACTCTCTCTGGATTA